CGCGATGTTGGATTGTCTTAATCTTCCTCCAACGCGTATAAGTCCATTCTTATCGATAAACGGGTTCAAAGAAAGGATCTTACTATTTGAGTTTAACGGTTGATTCTTTTTCAGAAGATTATATTCATTAAAAAACTCATCCATTTGAACTACTCTAACAATTGCATTTCTAGCGTATTGCAATTCTTAATTCCCTTAATTCTTGTTGCGGTAGATTTAGCTGAATTATTCGCAAACCGAAAACACCATGCGATGATTCTTTTAAGTTTCAAAAATGATGAAACTTCATTAAGGACTGGAATTTGCGAAGCGACTGTTCCAATTGAACAAGAAATATTTTTCCGTTGTTACCTTAAAGACTCTTCTGAAAATGGTAAGTTGATAGAGAACGGAATATTATTTGAATTAAGCCACTGAGGACCTGTCCACCACAAGTCATGAGTAGAAAGCTCTGAAGGCAAAAGACCTCTTGATGCGCAATCAGCTGGATTCTCCTTTCCTTTTATGTGATTCCAATGCGATGAAGGTAAGACTGATTGAATTTCTGAAACGCGGTTGGCTACGAAGGTTTGCCAGCGTGTTGGTTCTGATTGTATCCAGGACAAAACTATCATTGAATCACTCCATGCGTAAATACTGTCAACATGAATTTGCAATGAATTCTGCACAGCTTGAACCAAATGCACTAATAGAACTGCAGAGCAGAGTTCTAAACGAGGAATAGAGATTACTTTCAGGGGAGCTACGCGAGTTTTTGATGTTAGTAGCTGCACCGAAATTGAAGAATGATTTGAAGACTTTAAATAAATCACTGCGGCGTAAGCTTTCTCTGATGCGTCACAGAAACAATGAAGTTCTACATTTGTAGATTTGGGCAATAATACTCTCCTAGGAATATGAATGCATTCAAGATTTGCGATATCTTCACAATAGATTTTCCATCTTTGATTGATTTCATCTGGCAAGGGATCATCCCACGAGATTTGTAATTTCCATATGTCTTGAAGCAAGATTTTTGCTGCAACTATAAAAGGTGCTAACCAACCAAGTGGATCAAAGATTTTCGAAATAGAAGATAAAATTATTCTTTTAGTAGAACACTCTCTGTTTTCGAGATTTCCAAAGTGGCAAGTAAACTCGTCTTGCGTTGGATACCACTCCAAACCCAATAATTTTATTGATTTAGTATCAACTACTGTACATGAAGAATTTGAGTTCCGAGCACTCAAAGCAGTTTCCAAAATCGAGCGATCATTTGTACACCATTTATGCAATTGAAAGCCACCTTTTTGTAAAAGTTCACTCAGTTGTGAAATTAACTCTACTGCGTCTTCTACTGTGTGTCTGAACCAAATAGGACATCATCAATATAACAATTGTGTAATATTATTTCAGCTGCCTTTGGGAATTTAGTTCCTTCGTCAATTGTTAGTTGTTTGAGTACGCGAGTAGCCAGGTATGAAGCGGAAGTAGTGCCGTACGTAACTGTGCACAACCTGTAAGTTTTAATCGGCTTCGATGGATCATCTCTCCAAAATATTTTTTGGTAATCGCGATCTTCATCATGAATTTGAACTTGTCGATACATTTTCAATAAGTCGCTAGTAATGGCTATGGGATAGCATCTAAACCTCAAAAGAATAGTAAATAAGTCGTCTTGTACCTTGGGACCATTCATTAGCGTGTCATTAAGCGATATCCCTGATGTAGTTTTGGCACTAGCATTGAAAACGACGCGTAATTTTGTGGTAAGACTGGATTCTTTTAGCACGTGATGATGAGGTATATAATAATGAAAATTTACTTTATCTGGATTATCATCGGATAATTCTTCCATGTGTCCAAGTGATAAATATTCGGACATGAAGTCTTTTATACTGTTGATATACTTCAGGAGTTTTTATTAATTTTTGTTCCAGACTAAGAAAGTTTGCGAAAGGCTGATGGTCTGGAATTACCCAACTCATTTCTTTTAGGCTTGAATGGCAGTTTTACTGAGTAACGACCCTTTTCACTACGCACGTGATTTTCCACGAAATGATTTTCACACAATCTTTCCTCTTTAGTTAAAGGTTTCGATGTGGGAATTTGTTCCAAATCCCAAAATGATTTAACTAATTCCTCCGTGTTTACGTTTAGCGTATTGACTGAAACCTGCTTACGGTTTGGGAATTCAAAATGTGTAGTTCCAGCAATTATCCATCCTAACTTAGAACAACATGCAAATGGAAGATTTTTGCCCCTTTTAATTACCTCGCCATTATTAAAGTAAGGAATACATTAACTCCAAGTAAAATATCAATTTCTCCCGATTCATGAAATGTAGGATCTGCTAAAGTTAAATCCTGGAAATTTTCATATAAATTCAAAGGTAAAGTTACACTTGGAATGTTTCCTGTAATTTTGTCTATTATGTAAGCGGATGTTGAAATTCTGTAATTAGTATTAAAATGAGGTGTAAACAACAAGTCAACTTCTCCAGTAGTAGTTGTATTGAAAGTACCTAAGCATGACACTAATATCTTCGAATCCTTTATGCTCAATCCTAAATTGATAGCTGTTTTCCGACGAATGAATGATTTTTCACTACCTGAATCTAGTAAACATCTACAATTTATGAATTCCTGGTTTGAGTTTTGAACCTTAATTAAAGCAGTACACAAAAGTACATGACTACTACGTTTACCATTAGCATGAGCTCCAAAAATGTTTATTTTCATAGTTGTTTGCACAAACAGTTGGAGAAACCTCACTCAAGTTGTTTTCTGGTTTAATTTGCGATTTCGGAACAAACACTTGTGCTTCCGGTGAAGGGAATCTAGATGCATTTTTTGGTTTGAAATTATTTTCTAAATGCAAAATGCTATGATGATGCTTAAAACAATGCTTGCAGGTGTTTTGCACTCTTACACATTTTAACTTTATGGACATTAGACAAGCAATTAAAACAAAGTTTATTAGTCTTAACAAACTCTATTCGTTTTTTGCACTGGTAAATTTAAAAAATTAGAACACCTGTATAAAAAATGATCTTCTTTACAAAATAAGCAGGTAGAATTAGTAATCAGAGAAGTAACCCTATTATACACTGGTTTATCTGATTTATGCGTTTTACTAACTAAAGGTTTACTGTTCTGTAATGTTCTAGCGTAATTCTTCAAAAATTCTATCAAGTCATTCAACTTTGGTATTTCGTCTTTTTTTAATTGACGCTCCCACCACAACTTTGTCGAAACGTCAAGTTTTTGCAAAATAATATACAACAACAAAGTATCACTAAAATTATCTATCCTTTGATCTAATATTTCCAATGAGCGAGTTATTTCGTTTACGTTATCTACTAAACTTAATATCGAGGATGCAGATTCCGTTTGTATTTGTGAAACGTTAAGAATTCTTTTAATAAAAGCAAATATCTGTTCTCTCTTATTAGAAAATCTCTCTTCTAGTAAATTCCAAGCAATACTGAAATTTTGATCAGCTATGGGAATTGACTGAATAATGCGATAAGCATCATTTTTCAAAGAACTCTTTAAATATTGTAATTTTTGAGCTCCAGAAAGATTTGGATTGTTGCGAACACTAGCGTTAAATAAATCTTTAAATGTTATCCATTCAGTTAAATTTCCGCTAAATGTGGGTAAAGATAATTTTCGGTAACTTTAAACTTTCAGAGATTGATTCAGGTACGACAGGTTTGTCGCCATTTGCATTTACGACCTTGTAAATCTTTAACTTACGAATAATTTTTAAGTGAACCTCCTCAATTTTCTCTAAAATCGACTGTTCTTCCTCAACGAAAGTGTCTATTTTTTCATCATCACAATTTGTATAAATTTCTCTAAATAGAGATTTAAAATCTTCCTTAAAAATTTTACATTTTTCTAAGATTAATTCAGCTTCAGCATTATCTAAGTTATCATAATCTATTCTCTCAATGAATTTAGTTAACTGTGTTTTCAAAATTTTCTTTCGCTTTTTTTTCTATATCTGACATTTTGAAAATATTCTAAATTCTCGATTTTACTAATACTTTAAACACAACAATAGTAGCAATAAGGAAATCTCAAATGCAATTAAAATGCGTTAACTATTTCACTCACCTCGAACACTGTATCCATTCCGTAAGTCTTGAGAATTCTAAACCGAAATTGCATTATCAACTCCATTACGGACACGTAGAATTCTTATTCACAAGCGCGGGTTTTTCTCGAAGCTCCGGCGTATGACGACCAAATAATGTAGCGAAGCGGTATCTTAACTTTAAATTAATAAACCTAAGAATACATCACTGCGAGTGGACTGTAAATTTAACCTTTATTCGGCGGTTTGAACTTTCGAACACAACACAGCACAAAGTAAAACGACAGAGTTACAATTAGCGGTTTTAAGAATGCAAGAACAAAATGCGAACTACGCATACAATCTGCGCATTGCGAAATAATATCTCACAGACAGGCAGAGAGCTCTGGTGGCTGAAACACCCCTTCTAATAAAAACAGTGTCTGCACTGTAAATAAAATCCTTGCTCAAAATGGAAATTATTTTCATTAAATTCCGAGCTTTATTTTATGAAAAATTTTAACTGGAAGGAATTCTAGGACTAATAGTTGAAGAAATAAAACTCTTAGCCATCTTTTATGGGCATTCTCTAAATAATTAATTTGTAGAGATTGCTAGAGTTTTGAAAGAGGAAACATGAAAAATCAATTATGCCTTCCCAGAAATTCGAAATGGGGATATCCCAGTTTGCTTGCTGGACATGCTAGCCATTTACACCACAAGCGCACGCATGCGTAATTATTTACGTTCTCCTTCCTTCGCAAGGACAACTTGGGAGAATCACGAAGCCCAGTCGACCAAATCTAGGTGACGGCGACTTATCATTCACTACATTTTAGTTCGGAAGGCACTAACAATTATTAATTTTTTTTTGAGCCGAAAAATGTGAGAAATTAACGGTGCCCTCAAGGTATTAATTCCGCTTCGTTTCACCTTAGGACGGAAACCTGCCGGCGACGAACGAAAGATGCCTTCTTCAGGATTCGAGACACTCCTCTTCCAGTTTGTTAGCTTGGCATGCTATCTACCCACTCACTCTACGAGACTACGCATGAAGAACTATGATCATCTTAATAAAGGAAATGAAAGCAGACTTTACGCAAGACCATTTTCTAAATTTTGAGATAATAGTTCGCCAAAATCTTTTTTTATTTGTAAAATGAGATGACTGCAGTGGTTTTTTTATTTTTGAGGAAATTTCAGAATATCCTGCTTTTTAATTCTATTATTATCAAAGCGCAAACTAACTTGAATCTTGTGCTTTTTCTCAATTTCCTTAGCAACTGACTAATCAATAGCAGGGAATTAGCTTCCTTCCTTCGCAAATGGGAAAAACCTATTCGGATATCCATCTTGTTATTTCTAAATGAGAAAAGCGCTATAGGTTTCTTTTACTAAGAACTACTTTAGTTATCACCGCATAATGATAGAAATATCGTAGCTCACAAGTTCGCCTTGATAGTTTATTACCTTGATTAAGCTGGTTCTGTTTTTTAGTAGAAATGTAGTCACAAATTTGTGCATTATTTTACATTATGCTTATTTAGTGCTTGCCTATTTGCGGTGTTGATTATTCTACAGTCTGTTTCACCAGGGAAAATATTTTAGTACTTATAGAGAATATTAAGTGTACTTAAAAGTCTCACAGACAGCAGGATTAGAGCTTGAAATTCAGCAGTTTCGTACGTTTTCATCTGGTTCTGATAATGACTTTCAACACTGCTGGTAAATTGAAATATTCTATTTATTTATATTCAGAATAAACTTTTGTTTCATTAATTCTCGTCTAGGGCAATGCGTTTTTTTCACGTATACAATAACATCTTTATTGTACCTTGTTAATGAAAAAGCTAGGTCGCGCAAGCAGTTAGTTTAAAATAATTTAAAAAGTCCCTGAATTAATATTTTATGTGTTTATTTATTATCATTCTTTAAAAAAGAAAGAAGCGTTTATTTTATAGGCGGTGAAAATTCAATGACTTTATAATAGACACATTTCCGGATATTAAAGTTTTCCCGTTTCTGGATATTAAAGTCCCGTAAATGAGTATAACACTACGTATCGTAATAAAATTAAGAAAATCAAATTTTAAAATTAAATGCTGAGAAAAATGCATATAATTTACTAAATAAGAAAAATTAAAAACTATAGGGCAGATTTCATAGCAAATAAATTTAAATGTTTTAAAACGAAAGGAGGGGAGAAATGGCGTTTATAAAACAGTAGACTTACATTGTAAGCTTAATTTCTTAGCAAGTAATTCTTTCTAGCAAGGGAAGAAAAATAAAATAAAGGCATTAAATCGATATTAAAACCATCTGTACGGGGGGATAAAAGAGAGCGAGAGAGCGAAAGAGAGAGGAATTTGTATGGTGTATAATGACATCGTAAAATTGAACCTGATTTCAAGCAAGCCACGTGACGCCGATGAGAGAACCAAAATTTCTCCATTTGTTTATTGTAGCAGTCTTTTAAATCATTGCTTTGTTCGTTAATATTAAACATGACTTAATATTAAATTATACGCATTTTTTCTTGCATTTCATTAAAATTTATTCAACTGAAATAAATCTACTTCGTCGACAGCGCATAAATCACAACAGAATAAATGCACTTTTTAAAATTCACTAGATTTATTTACCATAGCGACACTGGCATTAGGTTCACTAAACAGCGTTATTCTCATTCATTTTATAACTTAGAATGTACAAAAATTATATCATCTGAAGAATTATCTAATCGTTGCCTCTATTCAGATACTATAATAAATCTAAAACGATGTATAAAAGAAATTAAACAAATTAAAAAGAAACAGTTTTCCACAGACGATTCAGCGCCGTTTACCTAATGCGCATGTGCTACTCTTAAACATTCTCCTCTGTCCGAGATGCACTGGCGACAATATTTGCTGCTAAAATGAAACACTTATTTCCTCGAATTTCATTAGAGATATATTTATCATTCAATTAATTCAGTTCTCACTTCGCGGCAAGGCAAAAATACACAAAACCTCAAGTTCTGCTAAGTTTTAAATGCAAACAAATATGGCTGCTGTGGTAAAAAAAATTACGCTTAGCCGCACTTAAATAACTTTTAAATTGCATGCAGATTAACTAAAGGCATAAAAACCTTAACCGGAAGATAAGAACAACGTAATTCAATTATTTTTAAAGCAAAAACAAAATGCGCAATTTAAGAATAAAAAAAAAACTGAGCTCACGGAGTAAACTGAGCTCCAAGTAACGGAGTGGGTGTATACAAATATATTTATACATATTTGGTGCGGCCGATTGTAACCAAAAAGGGAGTTGCGCAAATACATATTATAACAGTCCTATATAAAAATTTTGAACGTTCTGACGCTGCTTATTTTTGAGTTATATTATTTGAGTTACATACATACAAACGAACGTACAGACGCCACGAAAAAAAGCTTTTCTGAATCCATTTTAAATCAGTTTTATAATTCGTTTAGGGAAAAAGAGTCCTTTATTCTGTCTTTACGTACAGACGTCACGCGAAAACATCGTTAAATTTCATTCAATGCGGTCAAAATGGATATTTTCTTTGAAATATGGTACCCAGAATTTTTTATGATTACAATACTTCCTTTACTTTAGAAGGAAGTAAAAAGCAATTAAATTTTGTGAGAAATTTTATGTGAATACTGTATTCAGGTATTCTCTTGACTATGAATCATAGATGTCTTAGGCTGTGATGGAGGCTCGGGGATACACTATGACCCGATTGGAAACGACTGTTTTCTGAAGAATTTCTCTTTAAAGTCTAGGATAATTAATAGTCTACCCTTTAAAAGAGATTTAGATACTGCCTAAGCTCCGTTTCCGGCATACCGTTTAGAGTGTTTTATTGGTTAACGACAGATTTGGTGAGTCACTGGTTATTATTTATGATGCCGGGGCTGCTGTGAATTGCAGATTTTGCAGTTCTTACGACAGCAAAGTTATAGAATTTAAAATTATGCTCTTCCTTGAGCATAATACTAATTATGTATTCTAAAAAGACGATGAACATCACATTTCGATAGGTATTTTAGTCCTTCTTGCAGCACTGTAGATATTTCTTTCGTGGCTTATCCATTTGTCTGGCAAGCAATAATTTAGGGACAAATCCAAAGCCTTCCTGATTCAATGCCATGGCATATAGAAGCTGCTATTGCCGCTCATGGAGGTTTCTCAAAATCTCGATTTTGCGTGAGTAAAGTTATTCTGTTGGGCTGAAACTGTAATCATTCATTTATATTAATATTAGTAATAAGTGGTATAATTTTCATTTTGGGCTGATGGTTTCTTCATAGTACTGACATTTTTACCAGCGTGGGTGTCTAATTTTCTGCTGATTGGTTAGCTGTTTGATTTTAATTAAAACAAAACATGTAAGGGATCTCTTCTAAGAAAGGATGTTTTCGTGAAAGTCTATCCTGGCTTATATTCAGGTTATACATAGAGAAAACGGTGACCTAACCAATTCGCAGGATTAAAACCCGAATGAAACTATTAGTGTTCATCGCTCTAAGCCACTCAAGCATTGATGAGCTTATTTTATTGCAACCAGATGAAACACATATACATGTACAGAGGATTTCTCATAGTTACCCTATTTCATATAACTGAACATGGTTATAGCAAGAATATTAATAATACTATTAAAATCTGTGTGCGTCTGTCTGTTTGTTTGCAACATCATCCCCTCCGGAACGGGGAAGGGAAGTTGAGTTTCGGCAGAGGTATTTCCGGATTCCAATAAGTCGCGGGAAGTCATTTTGACTATTTTCGTCTTCGTGCGAGTTTAATCAGCTGAGATACTATTAATTAAAAACTCGGAAAACGCTAATTTTCTTACCCTGCAAGTTGCTTTTTTGCTGAACTTTATTGCTGTTCTCCGCGCTGCCACAAGGCGCGTACGAGATGGAATTTTAGAATTGAACTCCGTCTTTTCTAAACACAGCCAAACGTTTTTATGGAATAGCACTTATCAATTTTGCTTTGACGGCAACCCGCTCATCTAGCAGGTTTGCCCTCTAGTTCTAGATGAAAATTCGTTTATGCCTGACAGTAGGATTGGTAGTACTTGCCATTTGGATTGTCACACCTGCAGGAGTTACACAGAGAGAGAGAGAGAGAACAGAAAAATCCAGGTTGCATTGTTTCATGAAAAGTAACTTTTCAGTATAATTCCCTAAGATATGAGAAAAGTTTTCATACCTTTGGTCAGATATTTGAATTTATGTGGTCTCTGCTCTCAAAAACTTCAATAATTAATATGGCTGCATTTTATATGCCGTGAATAATTTGATGAGACTGTTTTTAGGAGGGCTAACAAAAGTGATTAAGTTTAGATTTAGCCTATTCCCTGATGCTCATGATTGAAAATTCTGAAATGTGCCATCGGAAATTGCTTACGAACAGCAAAGTTTTAACAGTTTATTAGCATTATTATGAAACATGAAAGAGATATAGAAATCAGCTGTAAAAGAAATACCAAATATATGAAGCAAAATGATTGCATTTCTAATGTGAAAGAATCAATTCTTCACAAAATCTGCAACCACTGGATAATTCAATAAATTATTGCACCAAGATTAATGGTCTAAATTAAATATACGTAATATATGATAATTGCATTCAAACTTAAATTCAATTTACATTACATTATACTTGCATTCAAAAATTTCAACCGAAACGAAAGTGGCGTGTGATACAAAACAGATGACCAATTCTGCATATTGGAGGAAATTCTGGTATCAAGAGCGGAAGAGATCTGAAATTGAAATTTTATCAAACATGGCGAATCTAGTTTAAATGCAAAGACACGGAATGCAACCTACGTAAGTCGAGGTTTTGCGGTAGTTCTGAAAAGCAAGCATGCGTGCGATTTTCTCATCGTCAAAGGTTATCCTCGAAAGCCATGTCACAGATTTACAACGTTTCCAGAAAGAGGGAAGGAAGTACATAAGAATACGATGCTTATTGGTTTATTTATTTATGAAGCAATGATTACTGAAACCTAGCAAGAGAAATGCATGACAGACTTCTTGAACTACATGAATTGCAGCCACTCTACACGTTTTCTGGTCATAGTGTTAAAAACTTTTCACAAACTTTAAGTAAAACTTAAGTGAGTGAACATAGTTCCAGTTGTAATAAAGTATGTTTCTCATAAGTGAAAAATTAAGAATATGTTTTCAATGATTTTTTTTCCATAAGTAATTATTGTTTAATCTTAAGAAATATATCTTGTTTTTTCATTTTCTGAAATCTGGTTGATTAAACTCATATATTTCTTAACATTTAGAAATTCTCTCCTCATCTTTAATAAGCAAAAGGAAATAGACTAGATAATTGTTTTCAATTTCACTTGCTATTTACTTGCATGCAGCTCCCTTTGGAAGCACTGTTTGTCTAGATACGCAAGAAGGTTTCTTGCCGCTAAGAGTGCAGTTGTATTAAACTCGGTTTCTGTATGCTGCAAGAGCATCGAAGCGAATGAAGCTCTTTTTTGTTGGAGAGAAATGGGAAGTTCGGGAAAGAAAAAAATTTACAATGCTAGGAATCAAATAGGTTTGGTATGCTAGCCGTTACATGATAGCAGTACTAGGAGAAATATACTTTTAATTCCTTTTAGTGTAAATAATCATTTTTGCATTAAGTTCATTTTGCCTCCTCCCGCACATCTGAGGTGAGCAGTTACAGGCATTCTCTAAGTACCAGTTTTGCCTCAGAGAAGACCACCATTATCGATGCAGTCACATCGGAGA